GTCATCAAGTGGCTGGTGGTCCTGCAGCAACACTTTGCGCTTTGAAGGTGCGAAGTGCATACCAAATAATGGGACCACTCTGGACAGGCTATTCAGGGTTAATTGTGCCGCCGCAAAATCGTCGAAAAGCAAGACGATATCGTCCGCATAATCTAGGTCAACTAATCTTTCACCAGGCAGCACTTCGACGCCTACATCGTGAGATTTCGCAAGGAAGCCCTCCATGGTAGAATCCACGACGAAATTGAACAAAAACGGGGAAATCGGACAACCCTGTCGAACGCCACTTGTAGTTGAAAAGCTATCCGACAGGAAACCATAGACCCTGACGCGGCCTGTAGTGTTCGAGTATAGAGCACGAAGGATGTTCACATATTTCGTCGGAACACCTTTCCGCGCAAGTAATTCGAACAGAATCGATCGATCGACCGAATCGAACGCACTCTTGAAATCGAGGAACACAGCTATTGTCGGTCTGCGGTATGCGTGGCGCTGCTCTAGCACCTGCCGCAAAGTGAATATATGGTATGTACAGCCACGTCCTGGGCGAAAACCGGCCTGCTCTTCCCTAATTCGAGATTCCCGTTCTGCAGTGAGGCGACGAACGATAATCGAGGCCAGTACTTTTGTCACAACTGGCGTTAGGCTAATACTCCTGTAGTTCGCACAGTCTGTGCGACTGCCCTTCTTGTAAATTGCCACTATAATCGATTCGCTCCAATTAGCCGGCACGTTCTCTTCGTTCCAGATACGTTCGAATATGGAGGTCAGTGCTTTGCAGAGGACCTCACCTCCATTCTTAAATAGTGCAGGTGGGAGGGAATCCGGGCCAGCGGCACGAAAACGATTGAGGGCTGTGATCGCGTTTCGGACCTCGGCCTCCGACGGAGGCTCTAAACTAACCGTCCATGGCACGTCCTGCATCACCTGAGTAGGAAGAGGTCCGGGAGCAGGGGGCCAGCTGAACTGATGTTCAAAGTGTTCAGCCAACGAGCCATACGGCGCTCCTTATTGTGTATCAGCGCACCCGCGCTGTCTCTGATTGTCTCACTGGCGCCTGGTTTTCTGGGACCAGTGGTGCGGATTAGCTGGAAGAGTTTGCGGTAATTGCCTACTGCTCCTGCCTCCTCCATTTCTTGAGCCCGACTGGTCCACCAGGCTTCCTTGTCAGCACGTAGGCTCCGCTTTAGTTCACGCCTAATAGCCCGTCTGGTCACATTGTGTTCAGAACCAGCCGGGAGGTGTCTTCTAGCTCCCAACAGGTTCACGGACCTCTCGGATATACAGTGACTGGTGCGGTGACGACTGATAGTGCCACAAGCAGATGCCCCTGCGTCGTGCATGGCGGCCGAGATCCTATTCCACTGAAGTTCAGTGTCATTAGGACAAGACAGCGAGAGTTCGGTATGCAGTGTGTCTTGATAGGCTTGCCTGACCGAGGGCTGGGACAATTTCTCCGTTGCCAATCGGAAGAGACGCTTTGTGCGCCTTCCGGTAAAGTTCATGGAGAAACGACAGCGCACCAAGGCATGATCAGAGTCGACACAGGTATTCCAGTACGAGCGGCAATCCAGAATGGAACCGCGCCACCTGTAACTCATGGCTATGTGGTCAATTTGGGTCCATCGCTGGCCAGCTACAGGTGGACGCCAAGTGGCACTTCGGCGCCCACTGTGTCTAAAAGCAGTGCTAGTAAGCAACAACTGGTGCTCCGCACAAAGTTGCAGCAGACGCTCGCCGTTGTCAGTCCGTTCGGAGTTAAGTCCATAATTACCACCCAGCTGAGCTTCTGAAGAGCTCAGACGCCCTACTTGTACGTTCATATCCCCTGCAAGTACTATAATATCTGAACTAGTAGCACTACGTAGTAGGGCGTTCAGTTCGTGATAGAAAGTGTCCTTGACTGCATTAGAACTGCAGTCGGTAGGAGCATAAGCGGAAATCATAAACAAACAGCGTTTTGTTTTACTTCGCGAATTCACCTTAGCTGATGTCGTCAAACGGGCTGCACATAAACGGCTGTTCACTGGAATCCAATCAACCAACGATGACTCAGCCTTGGAGCTGAGAATGATACCTACACCAGCTTGACCCGTGAGTGCCGCATCGGCGTCTCCAGATGCGTGCAACCAATAACGAGAGGATAAGCCGGGTGCAGTCAATTCAATAACCCCGTTAGGGTCATTAATCTTAGTTTCGGACACACAACACACATCAACACCCAGTGTGTCCAAGGTGCGTGCGAGTGCAGCCTGCTGACCTGTTTGTCTTAGAGTGTGGACGTTGAATGTCGCCATGGAAACGGGATAGCGTGGCCTTATAAGGGACTTTTGCCGATAGCCGTCCGATAGGCGCTGTGGGATGGTTGCTGCAGATGGTTCTACTCCAGTGGCACTTCTGTTGCTGTCAATTAAGCTGGGAATTATAGAAGGAAGGTTAGTAATGGGGGCCGGGATGGGAGTAAGAGAAAAAGGTGGAAAAAAAGAAGGGATGCCCCAGCAGTAGCATGTTTTCGCTTATCCGCCCTGCTGTATGCAGCAGATAAGGCGAACCTTGATAATCTGCGCGACGGCCGATGAAGGATGAAGTTTATGTTTGAAGAAAATGTCATGGTTGTATGTGGGCTGGGATACTGCCAGGGCGCCCAGACCTAGACAGGAGGACGATTAGGGTCCTCATCCAAAGCCTTTGGCTCAAAAGCCTGTCCGCAAGGCAACGGGGTGGCAGTGATTTAGTTTTACAGAAATAGACGCCATCCCATTTCAAACTCCCAACCTGGAGGACCAGGAGACTGAGTTTGTCTGACCTCTCACCATTGACCAACCTGGTAGGAGTAGCTCTCAAGATGCTCGGAGGCATCACCCAGTATAGCTCAATGGGTCAATGACGTACGCAAACCGTCGCACCACGTTGAGGTGCAGTCTCGTTGCGACGGACTATGAGAAACAATTTAATCAATCAGAATTGCCAGCTTCTCCATCGGCCAATGAGCGCTCTACTCCCTGTGCCGTCCGTCTGTATCCGTCCTCACGCGCAGAAACCGAATGTGAGATCGGAGTGTTAAAAGTAAGTAAGACCGCTAGAGCAGATTGGTTTCATCCAGCCTACTTCAAATTCGGGAGACCTGCTCTTTTGAACGATATACATAATTTATTGTTGAATCTATGGGAGCAGGAGACTGTCCCAACAGACTTGAGCCTTTCCGTTTTAGTCCTAATTTTCAAGGGAGACTCCCGTTCAGAATGCGGTAGTCATGGAGGAATCAGTCTGATCTCCATTGCCTCTAAACTACTTGCCTGTCGTCCTCCATAGATTGACTGGCATCCGTGAAGGCTAGATGTGCGAGAAGCAGGATTGGTTTCGTTGAAATTGTGGCTACATTAACCGCATCTTTACATTACGTCATTTGTTGGAGCAACGCCATGTTTGATTGGCGACTCACCGTAGTCGTGTTTTTGGACATCAAAGTGACCTTTGATTCTGTTGATCGATGTACCTTTTGGGATTGTATACTGAGGAAGAGTGTGCCCGATAAATACCTAAACATATCAGGGCGCTATATGCGCATAGTTTGGGTATAGTGAGGGTCTACGGCAATCTTTCATTGCTCTTCATTATCTCCAGTGGTGTGTAAAATGGCTTACTTTCTGTCATCTTTCCTCTTTAACTTCGCCATTGATGAATTCATGGAAACGGCGTTCGCCGGGCACGTTTTAGGTGTGAAGCTGCTCCCAAGTGAACAACTTGACTTGGAATATGCCGACGACACTGCATTGCTCCCGAACGTGCCAAGTTACACTGGATAAATTGGTTTTGGCTGTCAGTTGTTTCGGGCTATACCTTGCACCCTCGAAATTCGAAGTTCTCCAACATTGGCAGGGACCCATTCCTGCGCTGACTCTTAGTGGTGACCAGCTAGAGGTCGTCCAGAAATTTAAGTATCTGGGTAGCTATATTAGCGCCATTGGGATCGAAGACGAGATCACAAACCGTATAGAAAAAGCTCGACGCTTTTGGCAATCTGCGCCACCTGTGGCGCCGGCGTGATATTATTCTCGCTCTGAAGGGCAGTTTACAATGCAGTGGTCTGTTCAAACCTGTACGGTTGCGAAGCCTGGCCTATCATGTCGACTGACTTAAAATAGCTTGTTAGGTTCGACCGTCACTGCCTCCGCTGTACAGCTCATGTATGGTGGAAACACCGCATGAGCAATTCGCGTGTTCGGCACTTAGCACCGTTATTTCACGCATTATGCTCGTTGCGCATACCAGCACACCGATTCCCGCATCGTGCGTTGTTTGCAAGCCCGGGATCTGGATGGAAGACCTACCGATGATTTGATCAAGAGAAATGAAGTCACTCACTTCGAAGCTGGCGTGTTTCCCGACTGCCGGGCGGGGTCCCAAGGACGATGAGCACGTTTGGTTGGATTCACTAGCTGACATGGCAAGGAGCCGACCTCAATGGCGTTTAGTTTCCCTCTCGAACAACGATCTCAATCTAATGCACTACGTTACGTTACTTTTTTAGCCTTCCTAATCTGTATCGTTTAACCTCTTATCTTTTTATATTGCAACACATTTGCTGTGGTGTGTTTCTCACCCTCGGCTAACGTGTATTGGTGATGATGATGATTTTGGTTACCGACTCCAATGATTATTACTACGCTCCCCACAAAAATCGTTCGGCGTTATTGTATTGGAAATGTGCAGGGACGACATCCATGTTCTGCCGACCACGATGCCTCTGAGCATGTATATTACCTAGTTCTCCTTTTGCGTCAGATTGTTTTCGCCTTATTTTGCGCCGTTCAACAAATTATTCTGCCAACCGGCGTTATTGCGTCACACTCGCATATGACGGAGACCAGTAGAACGGCAAATAAAGCCGGGTTGGAAACAAGGAAATTTGTGCCCAATGTCCCAATTTTTTGATACTTAACATATCTGAATTAGTATTGTTTACGCTATCCATTTGCTTTGAACTTTAGCGGTTCCAAATGGCAAGCTTAGTGACACAATGTGAAGAGCATTTCCACTGCAGCAGTCTGTACGATGTGCTGGGAGTTTCAAAACGCTGTAAGGCAGCAGAATGTGAGTTTGTACTGGTGCGCTAAACCCAATTTTCATTTGCAGTGCGTAAGGCGTTTTACAAGATGTCCCTTCTACATCATCCAGACAAACACATCGGAGCTGCGAAAGTGGAAGCGACAGCGAGATTCCAGATTTTATCTAAGATTTACTCTATCCTGAGCGATACCGAAAAGCGAAAGGTATATGATGAAACAGGTTCGTTTCTTTTCTATTGCACTCATGTTGTATTTTAGGTGTTGTCGATGAGGATGAAAGTATCGCTAGCAAATCGTACGACGACTGGGTCACATACTGGCAACTTATTTTTCCTCGCGTAACAACTGAGAAGATAGATGAGTTTTGTGCCAAGTACAAGGATAGCCAGCAGGAACTTGATGACCTGGCTGAAATCTACGAAAGATTTAAGGGAGACATGGATTCCATTCTGGAAACGCTGTTGTTCGCGTCTTATACAGACGAAAGTCGTATAAGAAAGCTCATCGACCAACTGATCGCATCTGGGAGAGTGAAGGCCTACGGCAACTACACTAAAGAAGACCCTGCTAAAGTTTCAAAGCGAGCCAAGAGAGCTCTAAAAGAGGAACAATTGTTCAATCAAGAGCAGCTGAAGCTATCCAAGCGGGCACTTGACTCCGCTTCTAAGGAATCGGAAGATTCACTCATTTTGGCAATCAAAGCAAATCGAGAGCGGCATCTACAATCTACGGAAAACTTGCTAGATCGCCTAACAGAGAAGTATTGCAAACCACCAGCGCCCAAAAAACCCCGAGCTAAAAAACGCTAGAATCAAGTGATGACCAGAAAATATCTGTGTATTGTATACAAATAGATAACAATTGTTATTTTTCTTCGCCGTTTACTTTTTCTGTTCTTCAACGCACTGAAATAAAAAAGGAAATATCTCCTTTATAACCACCTGGTGCAAATGCATACACAAGAATAATCTCCTATTGCATTTCTGTGTACATTATTCATTGCTTCTGAACTATCGATAGACGCACGCATGCACAGCTAGTCGTGTGTACACATATCCACTTTTCATCAGATGTGACGGAATACACACATTGCTACAACCTTTAGAACACATTTTTTTAGTGCGCCTTTTTTGGAGAGGGTTTTTGAATTATCTTGTACACACTGTGCTTATTAGTGGGACCGTGATGAAACAAGGTTTTCGGCTGGATTAGAGAGTACTGGCTTCAATAAGGGATACAGGGTGTTTATTCTGAGTTCTCTCAGCAAAATAATTTACCTCATCTGAGTGTTGCACGGTATAGCCACAACCGGTGAATACAACCTGCTTGTTGCATCTACAATAGAAAAAGTAACTTTGAGATTTTGGGTGACACACTATCTCGTCCGGGTAGTTGCTCGTACGTAATCCGTTGGTTCGTCTCAGCCGTTGGTTCGAAACATGGTACAAGAGTGTTATCTGAGCACCCTAACGTCGGCCGGTGGCCGAGTGATTGGCACGTTTGCTTTCCAACCATAAGGTCACCGGTTCGAATCCGCGTAGGGGTGGGCGTCCTCGCGGTATACTCAGCCCGCGCGCGACTGGTGGTGGTCGCGCGGCAGCGAAGCGCCGTTACGGCGTATAAGCTGACACATTTCATTTTTCACATTTTCACCCTAACGTGACAGCAGCTCCGACGGTGTCATTTATCGTGTATTTCTTGTTGGTTTGTTCCCTAAAGTACACACATGGTGAGAGGAGGCACTGTTCAAAATGCCATGGGTGCGATGTTTCTCAGGTATGCACCACATTTTGGTAGTGCTGCTAAGTTGTCATGGTCGGCCAAAGTATCATGAACAGGTTCGAAGAGATTTAGAATAATTCGTTCGTCATCCAGGTGCCAATTGTGAATGCAGCTGAAGTTTGTTGAGATAAGCCGAGACACCGTAGCCTGGATGCTGCGTTACGCGACCAAGTTTTTTTCTATTGCCCGACGATTCGTGAGACGTCTGCGACTACCACTAGATGTTTATCTCTGCAAAAAGCACGTGGATATCGAACTCAAATCATATTGGCTCTTAGTTTGATGGATTATAGGTTCAAGCCACTCCATGAATGTTCAGCATGAACAACCGTCCATGTGATATTTACTTCAGTGAGTTTTGTGGAAATACGTTATGGGAGAAACTGCTGACCAAATCCCAGTTCGCTTATTTTGACTTTGAAATCGCAGAAGTGCCCCCCCCCAGCTAGTGGAAACTAAAGATTGCCCAGGATAATAGCAATTAACATTTGTAGAGCAACGCATTACTCGATACAACCAGATTGACATTGAAAGTGATGGGAGTTGTGGCATCGCCAGATATCTTTTCATAAGTGACAACGTCCCACCGCGATGCATTTGATGTGCATAACAACATCTTTATTCTTGAGTCACCTAACGAATCGAAATATTTTGCTAGTTATGATGATCAACAACACTTCTAATCTAACTTAGACGAAAATAGCGTTAGTCCGCCTCACCAGGATAACCTTAGTCGAAGAGCTACAGAATTGTGACCGATTTTACTTCGCTCTTTTGTTAATTTCAAATCCATTGCCGTGGATGCAGGTCCATTATGTAGTACGTCAGGGAACACGCAGCTGTACTCTCTTCTCACTGGCCTGGAGATCGGATAATTCTCGGAATGGACAGTCCATTGTCAACAATATTTTTTTTTCTGCTTCCAACTCTTTCCAAATATCCTGTCTTTAGATGACCGGCACGAAACCACGTCTGACTTCTCAGGATACAACTAGATCATCTTTTAGGCCTAATTCCGCATTAAACGGTTGTATCATCAAGTGACGCTGGATTTGACCTTCAACCCTCTCGGAGTGGACATGTGCTGCACCTCCGAAGTGCGCATTAGCGTTTTAACACGTTAACCCGACTGGGGCCACAGTTACGCACCGAGTAACCGCAATCGGGTTGTGGAAGGTGGACTTCTCAAGTGGGCTCCAGTGAACAGCAGCATATATGCGATTTGGCTTTGGAGTTAACTGGGGATTACCAAGCATAAATTCCCACCTGTTACAGCCAGGAGGTAGATAGACGTGCCTTATAACCACCTCTTGCCCAAGCAAGTAATCAGAGATGTAAATACCGTTTCAAAATTGGTGACTCGAATGTTTAAGCCAATCACCTAACGGAATCAGAGGCCATTTCATGGTCTATGCTTGTTACACTGACGGTATTAACCTCCCTCCTCAGCTATGTGCCTTAAGACAAACCCCATATCGATAGCACAATTTCCCAGATAATGTACCTGCGCAGAGTTACACGGCACCTACCAAAGGACTAGTCGGGTACACTGCTTGTAGTTACAGAGGTCTGGAGTCAACTCAGAACTTTCAGTCGATCTGGAACACTCAATTCGGTTCCGCTCAACTTATCATGCGCGGTAGCATACCTTCACTTTGACTTCAGTAAGCTGCACCACGTCGCGGTTGCTACCCCTTTATCTATACTTCAGATCACGAAGTTGCAACAACAATGGCAGCTATTTAATCTGCAAATGACGATCATGTCGGAGCACTTGCCAATTTAGGCTATAGATTCTGAAAGGGATTCCGATGCCGGGAATATTATGTACCGAACGCCTCTTCTTGGTTGGAAACTATCATTTTAACGAGAGAAACGCCACGTCTGTGCGATGCGAAGGGAAACCTCATTTTCAATATTGCCATCACGGGAAACTTAGATATTCAGATAGACAGGGCCTCCCATCCGTTCAACATCTTCGTCGTTCTACACGTTGACTAGAAATGAAAAGCATCGCAGCTATTGTGTCGCATTATAACTCAAAACAGAAAAAAGTACAACATTCCGTCTTGTTTTAATTACGCATCAAGAATAGGATCATAGCTGGGGGGGAACGGGTAAAGACGCTCCCAACACATGCTCTGCAAGGGTTGGCTCTTGGCAGTGTCAACAAGTGTCTCCAATCGAAAGTGTCCATCGCCTTTCGGACCCCAACTCGGGAGTCGCGAGTTATCAACTTCGACATGAGCCTTCGTTCCTCTTGATCAAGTCATCAATTGACCTCCCCTACCACCTGGACCCCGGTGGCGCAAACAAGACACGTCAAGTTGACATGTATCGCACATAGCTCATCCATCGGGGTCTGATGTGTGAAATGACGGTTCTGAGCAGTTCACACCATTTTCCTGCACCCTAAACAAGATGATCATCATCGACAGCAGTACATCAGCCATGTGAACTGATGCTTCGTCACTGTACAACCACAACGACATATGGAACGAAAAATAGTAGGAGGGAGAGAAGGGGGGCCTGGCGGAAAACCTTAATTTTATAAACAAACATTCAGGGTCAAGGCGCCTGCACTTTGTATCAACAACATGCCATCACAAACAGCTGGTTATCGTACAAAGTTAGGAAGGCATCAACGAGACAGCTTGCTTGCAGTTTTCATTGGCTCGCATCATAATCAGCCATTACCCCGCAGATAAGTCAGCACGAAACACACATTAAACAGTCATTTCGACTAGGAGACGGCAGCAGACACATCACTGGTGTCGACTGCGATCCATATCCTATAAAGTCTCGAGCCAAGCACAAGGCGAGTCACGCAGACTCCTGCTTGGAAGAAGAGACGCACCATCAGTGACTTCATTTACCGCTGGTAGGTCAACTTTTGAACACCTTGTGCTACCCTACATCTGGTAGACAAAACACGGCCCTCCTCGGTAAGCGGTGACCAGGCATATGTAGTATGTGCCCATGCCAATGCAACTTATTCAGTGCTATCTGTTGTTCTAAGTAACTAGCTTAGGTATCACTGCATATCACTCGACTACGCGAAACATCGTTGCGGACACACTGGTGCCACCCGACATGAGCAATGCTCTGCAGACAAAGGTGATCAAAGATTTGAAGGCGCTGCAGACTTTCAGGACGAAGGGGCAACATTTCACTCCCATTGAGTAGGACCGCCCTCAACGTGGCCCCGTAAACACGGCCTTTCAAACCCAGGGAAACCCCTTTCTGACGCCAAAGATGTCGCAGATTGCAATACGTGTACTGACTTCAGTTGCTATGCGCCCATCGTTCCTGATGCAGCTGCCAAGGTAAGTGAATTGATCAACTACCTCAAGTTCCTCACTATGGAGGGTCAAGTGGCTGGTGGTTTTGCAACAACACTTTGCGCTTTGAAGATGCGAAGTGCATGACTAATAATAGGACCAATCTAGAGACGTTGTTCAGGGTTGATTACGCCGCCCCAACATGGTTAAATAGCCAGACGATATTGTTTACATAATCATCTAAGCTTTCCCCAGACAAGACCTCCACGCCTGCATCAGGAGATTCGGCAAAGGAACGCTCTATAATGGAGTCCAGGATGAAATTGAACAACAAAGGGGCAATCGGACAACCCTAACGAACGCCACTTGTCGAGAAGATATCCGATAAGTCACCGCCTGTTGTGTTGCAGTATAGAGCACATCACATGTTCACATATTTCGTGGGAACACCTTTCCGCGAAAGCATTTCGATTCATCATCATCGTTATACACGTTTGCTACAGGTGGAAGATACATCTGCTATTGTGCTGCAGTACTAAAGTAAAGAATGAAAACACGCACCAGTTACGGATGGACGTCGTTCCGGAATGCTAATATATATATATATATATATATATATATATATATATATATATATATATATATATATATATATATATGCGACACTGGCGGTGCATTCTCATTGCGCCTGTCTGGCGATGATGAAGCTTCAAATGCCGGTCAAGCTGGCGTCGGCATTGTTTTGGGTCCCCGGGCTGAAGCTGCCCTGATTGATTGGATCCCAGTAAACAGTAGGATGTGCGCCTTTAGATTAGCTGGTTCGTTCCGTGCTACGAAGTCGC